ATGGTTGATCGCACATCATTTTTTATACCCGAAAACTTCTGCAATCTGCTCAACTCCCGAGCCATCTTTTTTTTAATGCAATATTTCTCGAAAATTACACGTTGTCAGCAAAATTTTCGCGGAAGTGATCGGATTTCTTCGTCAACGATAAATCGTGTCGATCGAAAATTACACTCGGAGCGCGGGTAACGTTATTAAAGGAAATCGAGATCCGATCTTAACATCGCGACGTGGAGCAATTTTAGTACTTTGTTGCAAGTTGAGAAGGGTGAGGCTCGTTACGCGTTACGCATAAACGTTGCGGCGGCAAGGGTATGAAGGTCGCCTCCGCGGGTTTATCGATTTAATTGTCGGTAGGACTTAATTGTAGGGGATGAAGAGCGACCTTGAGAAGGGCCAACAACATTGAAGGCGAAGTTCGAGCGGTCGAGCCACTTCGCTGCGAAAAGGTAATTACAAAACTGACCTACCCCAATGAGATTCTCCTTGTCAATGAAGAAATGTTCCCTTCGCACAGCGGGCTCCACGTAATCTAGTTTTCGTTCGACCGTTTTAAAGAAGCTCGTGTATTCTATGCTTTATATTAAGAGCAACCGGTATTGAATTCGTGACGCGACTTCAGATTTGAAATAAACTGACACAATTTAAAATAAAAAATCTATGGGTCGTCATTTTTAGCCTAAAAAAATGTTAATAATAAAATAGAATAATAAATATTCGAATGGTATCGAGATATAATATCTAAGGATAAATATGCGATAGCAAAGGGTTAATAAAGTATAAAATAAACATCTACCTAAATTTCTCCACAAAAATGAATACAACTTGCACCAAAAATGCTTAAAAATCATAACAGTGTTCCTAAAAAATTCATCAGAGTAAAACCAAAGACAGGGATGAAAGAAAGAAAGTCACTGGCGAAAGGACGAGAATACAAAATCTTTCCACCGCGAAACTGGCGTGTTTCCTTCGATGGGAAATCCGTAAAAAGTCACGATTGAATTATCCTACTGTGCCGCTACGACAGAGCAGTCGACGCTGAGGGATGGAGGAGGAAGAAAATAAAAAGAGAGGAAACAGCCGGCTGGCTGGCTGGCTGGCTAACACGGGGTGGAAAGGAAAACGAGAGAAAATAAAATACATACCCGGCCATTGGTGCGACTTCGTTTCGTACATTTTATTCGAGCCAATTGGATTTATTTATGCGGGTGGGTAGCAGACAGTAGTGGGGGTTGAAATGTCAGGCCAGAACGCGCAGCCGGTAAAGCAGTCTCGCTTCTTTTTCCACCCCCACCACGCCCTTTCACTGTACAGGACCGCACTCTTTATTGTATATTTAATTCCACGTTGTTTATCTCCGTCCTGTTCCTGTTCCGAGCTCGAACTGATATTTCAACGGGGTGAGTGCCGTTAAGAGGAAGAAGATCGGTTACGAGGGAAACGGAAACGACCAAATATTTATAACGATCATGTTATTGCCGTTTGAATTCTAACGATGAATTTTTCGCAAAAACGATTTTACCTTCTGTTATCGTGATCGCTTTGAACAAAATGTAGGTCAGTAATGATAACCTTCGTCGCGTTTCGTGTTGACTAACTTTACACTACTTTACAGTATTGTTTTACAATAACGATAGAATTTGGAGTTGTGAGGTCTTGTTTCATTCTTTTGTTATGAAACAATGAAAAATTAAATGTTTTTGAGAAATATAAACGGTGTATTATAGAAGATGAGTTATAATTTTAATCTTCATTATGTCATATAGAATTTTTTGCACGTAACAAATGACCTTTCAACAAAACGAAGAAAAAGTGGTATTAAAATAAACCGAGTTGCTCTTCGACCCAGCAAGAAAAGTCAGCGACTATAATTCGACCTCGAGGAAAGAAAGGGCACGTTACGAGAGGGAGAGGATGGGGTGCTGGCTTACTTCCGGTTCGTCTATTCGCGTCACCATACGGCACGAGCTGCATTCTCACGCTCATTTGCATAGCCGGCTACACATCAATATTCAGGGAGGCCGGAAAACGGGCCCGTTTTGCATACTGGACCCCCCGCTCCTGTTATTTCTTCTTTCGCATGGATATCCCGGTGGGGCATCGCGACTTCGATCCTGAGAAAAAGAACCGAAACGATGGGATCCGACGGACCGTGGAATTTAATATGCCAATCGATTGAGATTTAAAGACGTCTTCGGTGAACCGTGGATCGGGATCAGGAAGATGCAATTCGATTAGGGGCGAACCCTTTTCGAGATACCTTTCCTGCATAAATGTTAGTAATTTAATCCTTTTACCGAGGCATCTGCTGTGCAATAAGTCGATCGTTAAAAATTCATAAATAATTTTCTTTACTACTTATTTTCATGCTACCAAGAAAGTCTTTATCGTATCATTCTGATCATGCTTCGGTGCGTTCACTTTTTACCATTAATTCTTAGTTTCCAAACAAGAGGATCAGGTATAGTTAGATACAAATTATTATTTGAGCTGGCATATGCACTTGAAAATTTCAAAATGTTTTATTATTATTCTATGGGCGCTGATTGGATTTAAAATTGGGGATGCTAAATATTTGTTAAAAATAAACATATCTAACCTAACGAACTTTTTCACTCAGCTTTAAACTATCAGCCTACTCCAAAAATTATCATATTCAAAGAATCTCAATGTCAGAACCATAAAATTCTTCCACCCTTCTCAATTCCCACAACTCGATCGTACAGTGGTGATCGATCAACAATCGAATGATCAAAGATGCGCCCTTAAATCCTACTTATGGTACCAAGTGTTCCACATCGAAACCCGAAAAAATTTCCTTCCAAACCCTCCCCTTTTTGCCGGTTGAGTTTAGCTCGACGACAAAAGATCGCGGAAGTTCGCGTTGCACACACGCGCGTCTCCATAGGAAGGAAGGCGGGTTGCGTAATTTAAATAATTCAGAAATGACCCTGACCCCGGTTAGGCCGCGGGCTGACCTGCAGTCGGCGATTACAATCACAATGCATCGTCGAGTTCTCAGGGTAAGACAGGTAGCACGCCGGGCCCGCATACATTAGATCGAAGCCATCCACCGTGCGTCTATACACGCAGAAGCGTGCTCCCTGTGACGAGCAGTGATTTTATGCACGAGAAACGTGATTTTATGCTCGCTGCTATTCGCTAAACGTAACATCAAGCCAGTCTCCTTTTTCCATCCAGCTCCGTAGCTGGCGCACATTTAACCGGACCGAACGATTAGCATAACGACGAGGCGTTTCGTGTATCTTGCATGGAAATCCCACGGTGACGGCGAGAATTTCCTTGCCTCCGATCCTGCTGATTCGAAACGACCAAACGGAGAATGTCGTTTTGTTGCCGAACGGTTGCCAATGGAAATTCGTGAGAAATCGTGGTTTGGATGATGATGACGGTGTTGCAGATCGTAACTGGGTCATGGTAAAATAAGGGTGGTATTCGTGAGAAATCGAGGATGAAGATCTCCGAAAGATCAGAGTTATGATTTTGATAGGTAATTTACTTTGAGAATTCTTCAAATTGGAACAATAGAAACAAAGAGAATAAAAATCTTTCTGTACTGGAACACTGCAAACTATTGAAATAATTATAGAAATAAGTAATGGAGTTCACTAGAGCCTAGACCCTAGAGTTCTTATGAAAAGAAAAACGACCTCATTTATCTATAATTCCATCTGCCCATAATCGTCTAACATAGAAATCGATTCGGAACTCGTGTAAACTGACCTCTTACGATTAAATCGTGCAACCAGTACTAAAAGCCCGGCTAGACAATCGGCTCAGAGGCGAATTATACGCGAACAACAAGCCTCTGGCCAAAGATGGAATTTCGCAATGTTGAGAGCAAGCAGTATAAGGGGGGGGCGGGAGGGGTGTGTATTCGCAACGAGCGGAAGATTTGCGAATAATTAGGTGGGCCGACAATAGCCGGGGTCCCGTGGCAGACCGGATACACAATGTGGCCTGCCACCGGCGGAATAATAGACAGAGAAGAACGACTCTATGGGGTTTTAGGATTCGACGGACATAATGGCACTGGCCCATTGTCTACGTAGCTGCAGACTGCCAACATCCGCTTTCGAGGGCGGCTACGTCGGCTCATCTGCATTCCAGCCTTCAACCCTTTGACTGTTTAGTTTCCAGCATTGTGGATGCAAATTTCGCCGCGATCCAGCCGATGTTCGATTGTCATCGATCACGTGAAACGGTACCCGTTGCTGCACGAGATCCTGATCGCCGTATTGTTCTTAGGAAACAGGAAGCAAACCGTGAACAAAGAGGCGCAGGGAGTTGGATCGTTACTGTACGCGAAATACGGGTTTAATATTGCTCTTCTACTAATCTTTAGTAAACGTTGAATTTTACTAGAATTTTAATTAATTTGAACGAATTTGGTCTGCAATTTTAATTACTGCATTTATGAAATCTTTCCTATTGCTCGATGTAATTTGAAATTAATATAAAAATTACTACAGTCTCCAATATGGGGAGATTGTAATTTATAAATTAAAATTTTACATATTGAAATTAATAATTTCAACTCATTATTGAAAAATTGGATATTCCTTAACATAAAATACGAATATTAATATATGTACTTACTTTTTGCTTATCATACAGTATCACGAATATGTGACCATATTAATTAACCCTTTGTGGACAATCGGTTTGTATATATTTTCAAATAAAATCATTATAACTTTTAATTTCATACATATTTGCAGTGTGTTTTATAACACAAATTATAACTATGTGTAGTCCATAGTGATTTATAATACATATTTTGAGAAATAGAATTATTATTTATGTTACTTTAAATAATATACTTTGTCAAGTTAAATTATATCAGTGTATAATATAATAAGTTAAAGGGTATCGCGTCCTCAAAGGGTTAAATGCAAAATCATTCTCTGCCTCGGTGTATCATGCATTCCGCGACACCGTGTATAAAAGTAAAATTACTTTGAAGAAAAGGTACTTACCTCAGGATCTGTTGAATCTGGCCGTGCAAAAGCGTAGAGGGATGCAAGCTTATCGTAGAGATTGGCGCGATCGTACAGCGTTTTGAAGGGATTCTTAGTGCTGAAGAAATCCAGATCGACGTCCAAAATGTAAGGAGTATCCCGTTCGGGAAGATACTGTCGTAGAGCTGAACTAATAGCAGTAAAATCGTCCCTCTGGAACATTAATGAACAGAAACAATGTTAGAAAGATATTTATCAATGGAATAAAAATCAACTTCGTTTACTTTTTCACCGTGCCCACCATTTTGTGATACTTCCCGTATCACCATTTTGTGATACGTGTATGTTCCCTTTCGAACATACAGATATACGTTTTACAATAATTTAACAGTGTAATCGGCTCATGTTCACTTTGGGGAAGGACCGATATTAATAAGTACCATATATATTTTGACTCTACTCATTAAACGAAGTCGATTAACACCACTCTCGATATGCGAAAACAATCTGTTAAAAGGTTACGTGACAACTAATGTTACGTTATATCTCTATGGACGAGGTTGAAATTGGATGCCAGACGCAAACAAACAGCAAAACCACATTTCACTGTTTAGAAAATAAATACATAAGATGTGCGTCGTAACCTTCGTAAACGAAAGCTTGATTACTTTGAAGGTGTTCTAGAAGCAATACGCTTTGACTATGGTGATTTTTGCGAAAACTACATTTACTAATAAAAACATTTTTTACGTGTCGATCCATCAATGTTGTACATAATTAATAATAAATATACAGTAGAAAAGAAAAATATCCTTTTTCAAACCAAAGAGTAATATTCGTATTGAATCTACATACATGAATGACACAAATTAATAGGTTAACAATGTGCTATTAACAATAATCACAAGTTCACGGCGTGTTATTACGGAAAAATTAAAGAAACATATGTAAAATGATTAAACAAAACAATTAAAACTATGAATTACCTTCAATAATGACAATATCTTCAAATAAATATCAAAGATGTCAAGAAGATCTCCCTCACTCGCGAGCACATGGCGGAATAGCGAATGATCCTTGATGGAAAACACGAGTGACGTCAGAAGCGCGCGATTTAAATGTGGAATTTGAATAACATAAACTGTTAGAATCTTTCGTTAACAAATTTAAGCGTATAATTTTAATCGAAACATTCTTGGATATATTTTCTTAATCTGAGGCACTATTGAACCTGTATCTATAGCTTGTCAATTAATTATTGTTCCTCACATAAATTCTGTTAATGTATAATTATCATCCAGATCCTAAAATCAACATTTTGCTCTGTCGATTCCTAAAATTTACTATTTTGTTAATAATATAAATTAAAAAATACTAATGACCAAAAAACATCACAAACGACCGCAATTTTGCAACTCATTAAACACAATTTACAGTAATGCTGTTTCTTTTGCAATGCTGGTCGGCGGATATTGTTCGAAATGAGGCTAAACGGAACGTGCAGAGGGGATTTTTTGTGACTCGCAAAAAAACAATGACTGCACTCGAATTAATCCTGTTATAATTGATACTCGTCCGGCACCGGAATCGCAATTTGCATGCGTTCACAACAATGAAACGTGAACAGGGCTCGCAGAGGGTTGCAGTTGTCGATCGAGGGGGTGGAGATCGGACAGAAAAGCGAAGCCAACGATCACTATGGTCAGCGACTCTCAAACGTTTAATACGAGACCTTCGATGGGCCGGCTGTTCTGTTTTCCTTTCTATTGCTGTCTCGAGTGTTGCAGTAATGAAATTTAATTACACTTTTTTTCCCTTCGCGTTGAAGCTGAGAGCGAACTTTTGACGTTCGATTCAGTTGAAAAAGATTTTCGAATACTGATAGAATTTGGTCGCTGTTTTTTCATATAAAGCGAATGACATTAAAGAATTATTCCAATCAATATTCTTTACAAAATATCTTTGAAATAGTTCACCAACAAATAGCAACCAAAGTCCTAATACAGTGCTAAAAATTTTAAAATACCTTTCATATTCTTAACACATTTTACCAAATTATTTCAGCAATTGTTCAAAAATACAAAAGAGAATTAAAGAACGACTGCAGAAAGTATTCCAAGTGGCGTCCAGAAGAAGAAAACAATTCAGTCTATTCTTCATTAAAAATTTTTTTAACCAAACTTGAAGTGTTCCTGGCAAAAATTCGAAAAGTCCGAAACGAAACCGCACCGGGCAAACATTAGAAGCTGCAGAATGCTCGCTCCGCCGGACGTATTCATTTGCATTCACCTAACATCAGCTTTCTCGTTGCTCGGGGTTCCTTCTTCTTGCAAGCTGAGGGAGAAAACAAGGGAAGGGAAGAAGAACGAGGTTCTAGTTGAAGCGAGACCGATCGAAAGAGGTGCGTTCATTTCTTTTTGTTTTCCCTCTTCTTTCTGTTCCTTGCTCTCGTGACAAAGCACCGTTCTTTTACGCTAAACTACCAAAGCTCTTTCTGACTGAAACCCGTTTCCCGTTTATGCGAACCGAACCGGCCAGGGTGATCCTGACTGGAATCGAGAAAGGACAAAAGACGCTTACGGAATCCCCCGTTGCGCTTAAACCAACAACTCTGTCCAACATACTCGTTGCAGTGACGTTTGTAGAAAAAAGTAACGTCGAATATTCATATTTTCCATCTTGTTTCTCTTTCATTTTCAAATCAACATAGTAACACCTTCTCTATTGGTACTTCATTATTCAAATAAGTGTTTTCTGCATCAGCTGCATTTCTGATTGTGAGATACGTGTGGTGCATCTTCATTTAATCCTTTCTGTCGTTTACTTGTCCTGCTGAATACTTTGTTAGGATATCATTAACAGTCGACTTTCCAATTAATAATGAAGCAGGAATTTTACGAGAGGATTTACCACTTTGTGATAATTCAATCACATTTCGTCACAAATCAACAGACGTGTTTCGACACATGTTATTATTTCGACGACGTATTTACAACTGATCTCAATGTTTCTGCGGATCAACATTTAAATGTGAACATTTAGAGACCTTGAATATATCAAGATACAGAAGTGGCCGGAAACTTTTAAATGCACTACTTTAATAATTATGTATATAAATAGATTCGATATAAGGAACAGTATTATATTGCTGCATTATTTTTCTTTATTTCTGATACCTCTTTATTCAATATTAGTGGGAATTCTTTTAAATATCGCTTTTGAAATGTAAAGCGAAAAATATAACTGACCGGAAACTTTTGCACACAACTGTATGTTAATTTCCATTTCGAGCAGTGAAGATGACACAGTGACATCACGAACGTATGAGTACCGCCTTAAAAAGGCGGTATATGCCTATATATATTTTTTTCGTTGGTACATATTCTTTTTTTTCCAAGCGTACCTTCGCATGAAAAATTCATTGATTATTTCCTTCGTGATGATGTGACCACGCTCGCATTGGCATAAATCTAAATACGAGTACGTAATCAACGCTTAACCGCTCGTTTTATGGCAAAACGACTAATGGCAATTGTTGTCTTAGCAATCAATCGATTATGAAACTGAAAGCCTTTGAACAGGGCGTAGCATTGTTCAATTTTTTCACTGATTTTACGATCTGTATATTGCATTTGAATTTCAATCTATCTAATTACTATTATGTTTAAGAATAGTAATAATTATGTTTGGAACAAGTTTCGTTGGAATAAAAAGAAAGACCGCACGTCAAGCACTTTTTGACAAATAATTATTTCATTCAAAGCACATAAAATTTGACGTCTATCACCTAAATGATACTTTTTATCACCGGTAAAAGTTTAGAGGTACGCATTAGAAATACTAAAATGTATAATTTATAACGTAGCTTAATTTTCCAGCTTACAGCAAATAACAGCCTACTGATACATTATTCATGAGGCAAGTTATTTAAGACCTCATTGGAAACACAAAATCGTTTGCTTTTAAATAGGCGTTCTGAGTTTCTAATCTCATACGGTGGACGCGGACATTAGAATTAGAAAATAAAACTTTCATAACTTGGTGTCAGTTCAGTTATTTCGATTGCAGTGATGTTTGATAATTATCAAAGTGCATTCGAAGCAAAACTAAAATCATGGAAATAATAAAATCTTATTGAGTAAACCTTATTTAGAATTTTAATTAAAATCATTCATTGAAATGTTCACTTCTCCTTAACGTAATAATCGAAGACACGATCGTACGAAGCATAGCAATCAACGTGTTAATAATTCCTGATGCAATGCATCGTGGTAGACACGATCGTTTTCATCGCGCCAGTAAATGCGTTAATTCCCCTATTTAATAAACGTAAACAAGCCATCAAGGCAACCATTTCGGGAATGCTGCGAAGTCGCGGCCCCCGCTCGTGAAAGCGTAGAGCGGGGCCAGCGACATCGCGCCACTTCGGGTCAAGACAATGCGTCGATTTGCATGCGGCACCGCTCGGCTTAATTGCGCCCGCGACACTGCTGTGATGGACGACCGTCTGTTCGGTTAATGCGCATGGAAATGCCTTCGGTCTGGCCTGCCACGTGCTCCTCTCACTGCGGACGACGAGTTCCCCGCTGGCCGAAAATATCTGTCGAAATCGAACCGACGGATTATCGCGTTATTGCACTTACCGAGCGGGTGCAACGCCCTGTCTTGGATTCCTCGCGTCAACCACGTAAAATTAGCCGACAACTGGCCGTTGAACGAATTTTTCGTTAGGTTTTGGATGGCACTTTTGGAATTTCTCGTGGGAGTCAAAAGAATTAACATAGGAAAGACGGTTTCTTCTTCTTTTTTTGGGAGGGTTGAAAAATTTTGTAAACGAGTCAGACGAGTATAGCATTGTCCCCTTTTTTTGGTGGATGCCTAATATTACTTAACACATTCGAGCCTAGTGGTTTGGTTGCATTTGGTTTCAAAAATATATATATATTTTGTTAGCAAAATGATAATGAATTTATGACAGCAAAAGTGTGATTCTATGTTTGTCAGCTTAATCTTTGAAATGTATTTTTAAGTATTAAAAATGGCATCATCTTATTAGTAAGAAATACATTTTACACCAGGAGGTAATTTTTCATTATTAGCAGATACGTGTTAATGATAAAGTGTGAATCTAACTCCTTTTTTCAGTTTCCTATTTATAGGAGTTAAAAGATTTTGCTTGTACCTAGATGTCATTTAAAAAAAAATAGGGAATT